TCCTTTAGGGTTTTTCATTTATTTGGTAGGAGGGGACAGAGAAAGTCAGGTAGGGGCGAGGGAGTAAGACAAAGCCCTCCTGTTACCTGACACCAGCGGGGAGGCTGCGTGTTCACCTGGGGCGGGTATGGCACGAGGCTCCTGAGCGACACGAGCTCTGCACAACAGCAAGTCACTGAAGGAGCCTGAGGAGCGCAGCCTGACGCGATCTGTACTTCAGCTGTAGCAAGAGAGGAAGGGGCACCGGGACCGGGAGGGCTGCCGGCCAGCAGCGATGGAGGCACTGGAGAAGAGTCTGTCTGAAATATGTTATTTAGATCAAGGTAACCCAATGTGGTGGGCATGCTCAGAAATCTTAAAAAAAAAAAAAAAATTATCATAGGACAGTTCCACTTCTGGGTACACTCCCCACAGCAGTAGAAGCGAGGACTCAGGACCCCGGAACGCTCCTGGTTACAGCAGCATTATTCACAACTGCAAGCAGGAAGCAACCCCAGTGTCCACCGTGGACGAAAGGAGGGACGAAACGTGGCCCGCACACACAGTGGACTCTTTTCAGCTCCAGGCATTTGGACACACAAGCTGCAACACGGATGAGCTTGAGGGCATCGTGCTGGGTGAAATAAGCCAGTCACAAAAACAGAACTACCACAGGAGGACCCTCGAGGGGTCAAACTCCTAGACACGGAAAGCAGACGGTGGCTGCCAGGGGCTGGGAGAAGGTAACTGGGGTTAGTGTCCACCGGGGACAGAGCCTCGACGGACGGTCGGTGGTGAAGGGGCACCGTGTGAAGGAACTCAATGTCCCTGAAGAGGACACTGGTTGAGATGGTTACGTTTTCTATTATGTGCATTTTACCACATGGAAAACCAATGTGGCGTCACCACCAGCTCCGGGTTTCGGCATCGGTCACGTGCCCCCGCGGCAGGTGCACGAGCTGGACTATCACCGGGACCGTGGGGAGAAACGCCCCAGCGCTATCACGCAGGGTCACTTGAGTTGTGAGGAGAGGGGAAAGCTGGATCACTTAGCCAGAGCAGCCTAAGAAAGGGGATGCTCTGAATTGGCCTCATAAGGAACACAAACGCAGCTGATACTCCTGTCTACTTCTTGTGACCAAGACTAAGTAAAGAACAGCGAAGTGACAAGTTTTACAAGTTGAGACAGCACGAAAGGAAAATCCCTTGGACTTACTAAGAGATTAGACACACTTACGTGGCACCGATTCAGCAGTGAATCCATTCGTGACCCCCAGGCGAGTGAGGGAGACCCATGCCTGTCAGTCCCCGCTGCGGGTCAGACTCGCGGGGCGCAGACACGATCTCCGTGTTTGCGCCCCAGCCCCTGATGCTGATTTAACACAGATGGCACAACCCACAAACCCAAGTAAGATGGGGTGAGCGGGAGGATTTGCTGAATCCTTTTCTACCTTCCTGTTCGCAGGGTCCATGTAACTTCTGGTGGAGACTCCAGGAAGAACGTGGAATGGTGGCCAGAGCGAGGCAGGAATGAAACATCGAACACCCACACCACCCGTCTGCAAAGACTGCTCCCCCAGCAACCTGCTTCCACGGGCCTTTCCCCCAGGATGGAAAGCATTTCTCAACAAATAGTGTTCACACTGGAAAACAAATCAAGCAGTTACATGTCTTGTTCCTTTTAAATGAGTTATATCTTTAACCTCTTCCTACACCACTGAAGTTTAACAGAAAAGAGACAGGGGCTCCTGGGTGGCTCAGTCGTTAAGCGTCTGCCTTCAGCTCGGGTTATGATCCCAGGGTCCTGGGATCGAGTGCCGCATCGGGCTCTCTGCTCCGCGGGAAGCCTGCTTTCCCTCTCATAGTCCCCTGCTTGTGCTCCCTCTCTTGCTGTGTCTCTCTCTGTCATATAAATAAATAAAATCTTTAAAAAAAAAAAAAAAAGAAAGAAAGAAAGAAAGGAGAGAGACCTATGGCTCACAAATTCCAAGTAGTCTCCTTGCCCAACAGATTTCCCATGTTAACAACGCTTAAAAACCACCACATGAACCTGGGCAGCGCTATCGGTGAGTACTGGGCCTTCTCGGATGATGTATTTACACTCACAGTCACCGCACAATCTTTAAAATATCATTCACAACCAAACAGACATCTGACCTTAACAGGCATGATTTTCACATTTGAAATTTATGGAAATTTAAGTTTTTTGGACTAAGGAATTATGAAAAAATTATTGAGGCAATAAAGCTGAGAAAATTTTGGAATCAGAAATCAGTAAATGTGCCTCCTCCTGCCTGGGAGGTCAGAGCAGTAAAGATTGAAGGCATTTAAGAAACTGTCTAGAGACAGATACATAATGACAACTCCGTAACTGTCACGAGTCTGGAAGTATGTGAGAGGCGAGACAACCTGCTTTCTGGGATGGCCAAGAGGAGATGCACCAGCGATGGGCAGCAAGTTCTTGGAGAGAAGGAGCCACATGTAACTCATCACTGTAGCGTCCTTCAAGCCCAGTCTGGAACCCCACATGGGGTAGGAGACGCATGTGTGTAACAGGTGTTAACAGCCCCACGCGTGCCAGTATACGAGCAGTATGGTGGCACGCACTCCTTTCCAAGTAAGGGCAAGAAGAAGGGCTGTGGGCTGAGCTGAAGCAGATCTAGATGTCCTGCTTCCCAAGGTGGCAGTGGCCTCTTGCTCCCTAAGTCTCTGTGTCTTTTTCTTGGACTTAATTCCCAGATCCTCATCCTAGTTGACAAAGGTCTCTTCTCCTAGGTGGAGAACCTCGTCACTGCTGCCCAATTTCCTGGACTTGAACATGAACAGGACACTCTGGCAGAGGCCTGTCCATAGCTCAAAGGAAGACTTCCCCTCCCCTAATCTACGGCCCAGGTCCCAACACCGCATGCAAACAGACAATCTTAAGTGGTTCTTTGCATTCTAAGAAAAATAAAAATGCAGGAAAGAATTTAAAAATGGAGAAGGTTTCTAAGCCCCCATCTACTGACTAGCTGTTAATTCACAACAGGGTTTACTAAGTGAAGACCCACCCTCTTGTTAAAAAGACCGTGATGGGGTTTCTCGGGGATAAGGAGTAACTTCTCAGGGGCCAGAGTGTCACAGAGTAAGAGACAAAAAGCCCAGGCAACAAACTGGTACTTAAAACCCAGCAAAAACCCCACTTCCATAAGAACTTTTCAGAACAAAGTCAAGCGTGATAAATACCTAGTTCTTTCCTCTCAGCCAGCCCACAATTGTGAACACCGGGAAGCAAAGAACACACCACAGGGAAAGCACATATACATTACGCAACTTTGGAAGTACTCTGACGATGGGCTGGCCCAGCGCAGACCCCTACTGGGGCTGAATGGCCACGGGGGTGGGGGCCCAACGCTGCTCTCAACTCACAGCTTTGCCAGGAAAGAAAGCCCACACCTCAGCTTTTGGCCAAAATTGGAAAATTCTCTTTCTGTTTGGATCCCTGGAGAAATGATAGCTGAATTCTTCTGGTTTCTTACTGGGGTGACATTCAGGTCACATCTAGGCCCTAAGGGATCTGGACCAGGGTTGTGCCCATAATGAATGAGGTGAGCTCATCAGTAACCGTATCCTCTGCAGCCTCACCGAGCTCAATGCACCTGGCAGCCAGAGGACGGGCCCCAAGACGGGTCATGAAGAAAGCAAGGAGAGCACAGATGACAAATGAAGGGAGTGACCAGAATATTCCAAAATTAACGGAAAAGAACTGGAATATGGCCGACTAGAGTGATCTTCTCTCAGGAAAACAAACTGCACAGTCCCAGCCCTGGAACAGTCCGCCATCTGCCAGTGTTGCAGAGGGATGGAGACTGTGACATAATATGGTTTGAGGCAGATAAACTCCACACACACTGCACTTTTCTAGAAGCTGTAAATGACCAATGTTTCTCAAAAGGGCTTAAAGTCTCAAGTTTGCTTTTCCCTGAGGGGAAACCAGCAGTAACAGAAACGTACAGCAACCTGCATATGCCATTTAAAACCTTCTAGTAGCCAGTTTTCAAAAGTAAAAGGAAACAGGAAATTAAGACATTAACTCTAACAACACATTTTATTTAACTCCACACGATATATTGTCACTTCAGCCGATCATGGCTCTAAAATAGTTGTGCATGGTCTTTTTCACCACAGCTCTTGAAATCTAGCGCACGTCCTCCCCCTGCAAAGCATCTCAGCTCAGACTGGCTGCCTCTGAACGATGCTCTGCGCCCACACTTGTCCGGCGGCTGGCACGCTGGACACTGTGGACAAAACGCCCTCGTACGCCCACTAGGACCCCCTGACTAACCCATCTAGACACATACAGTAAAGCAGTCTTGCCACCATTACCTTTCAATAAAAGAATCACCAAGGAACGCCAAATGCTGTTTGGTTCAAATGGCCTGTCATTTCAGGGGAGAAGTGCTTCTTTCGGAAGCCCCTGCCATCAGAGCCACAGCACAGCCGCAGCCATCCTCCCGAGCCCTGCCTGACCCACCACCCCTCCCTCGGGGCCGGCTCCGTCCCGATGCTGCACGGGGAGCCTGGACACTTTGGAGAGTTCTGAGATACTCTACAGGGGAGAAAGGAGGTGTGCCTAAACTCAGGGCCTACATGCTTGAATTCCTGGGATTTAACGCTAACAAAGAACCCACAATGAGAAAACCTAATGAAGGAGAAGCTGAATGTGATCCCCCTCCCCCACCTGCTTTCACCCCCTGGAGGAGAATGGTACCTGCTCTGTTCTCAATTATGAACGACACTGGCCGAAAGAGAAGAGCCCCCTTCTCATTCTCCAAACAGATACCATTTGGGGAAATGACGCAATCATTTCTGACCATCATATGAAATCCTTGTTTCCACTACAGCTCTTGATGGATTAGAAAGGGCCAGAGCCACAGTGACAACGGCCTGAGTCACGAGGGACAAGGCTGCAAGGAAACAGGGGCAGAAGCACCAGGGTCATTTCCAGCGGGCATGAGCCAGCCGTGCCTCAGGATTCCTACCTTTGTGGTTGAAGATGCCTTCCATTTCCATGCTACTTCTCGAGTGGGCGATGCACAGAGAGCCGCAAGGAACCAGGCCCTCTGCAGCAGGGGACCGGTCGGTGGTCCGCACCAGACACCAGTCAGGCTTGTCGTGGGGCCGCTCCAAAACCTCCACGGTCTGGCCACGGCGGATGGTCAGCTCCGTGCTGTTGCAGGCGGTGAAGTCATGGATCACCACTGTCAGCTCGCAGCCGCCGGAGAGCTGGGGAGGGAGAGACACACGTTAGCGAGCCCCGGTCACTGCCCCTGTGGTGGGGAAGGCTGACCTGGGCCAGCAACATCCTGGGGTTGGGGCAGTAACTTGCCCCCCAGCCTGAGTCGGGGCCCTCCAGTTCGCTGCCCCTTTACTCACCTTCAGAATCACATGGGCAGCTACTGACTTTCCTGTGTGTGAAAACACGGTTATGATTTTTGAGGGTTTCACGGTCAGAATCGGATACAATTTTTCAGATGAGTGTCCGTATCATTTTGGGCCTGAGACATTATCATCTCCCTGCTCAAAATGTGCTATAATAATCATCTTTCAAACCCAGGGCAACCTTGTAAAACCTCTGTTTCAAGGCCACCGGGGGATCACTGCACCACAGGGTGCTAACATGATAGTTTTATCTGAAATTTCCCTTCCGACGTGGCACCACAGCAGCCTGCGCTGTCAGCGTGGAGGCTCTTGGCACCACGTGGGTCCAACATAGAGCTGTCGCACAGCAGGGAGACGGAAGAGGCCACGAGATCCCTACATATGGGCAGAACATGCCTTGTTCTCTCTCTGAAGCCCTCCAGGATGCCTCTTAGTGGGCGCTCCCATCCCCAGGCCTTTCCAGAACCCCTGCCCACACTGTGCTTCAGCATGCCATCCCACACACTCTGTGGACACTGGCTTCTTTCCCATACGCTACGTGCGTTCTGGCCCGAAGCTCCTTTCCCTTCTTCTCTCCTCTCACTAAGCTCACTCCCATTTTCTGTCCATTAAAACTACCAACGCTTGGGCCCTCTGAAGCGTATCCACGAACTCCAGAAAGATACATTCACGCCATGATTTCTGCTTATAAGAGAGGTGTGTGGCCTTCTCGTGGCCACTTGGCTTACTGTGGCCTGGGCCCTCTAAGTCTGCCCCGCGGACCGTTCACACGTGGGGACAGCTCGTACACACACACGCTCATTAACATCTCCTACACGAGAGTGTTGTGAACTGGCCCCTCTCTGGACTGTCCCTTCTGGCTCTTCAACCCAGGCAGCCCCCGGGGTTCCAGCTCTGCTGCCTGTTCACTGTGGCCCGATGTGGCCCCATAACCACACCCTCTATGCCGAGGACTCCCCAAGCAGACACCCCAGATAACAGCTAGACACTACTCCCCTCAACGTTTTGGACACGTCCCTCCAAAGCAGTCCAGGACACGACCCGCCTCCCCAGTTTGTCTTTCAATGGTGGCTAATGGTACCACAATTAAGTTACCCAAGTTAAAAACTCTTGCGCTCCAAATGCTATCAAAAAGACCTAAGGCCGTCTCTCGGGTTACTTCCTTCCTCTGCCCAGCCAGGCTACATGTTACGTGGATTTTGTGGTGGCCTCCTTATACACTCCAGGCCCACTTTCCACGCCACGTGAGCACTGCGGGCAGTTGCCTTGTTGAAATGCTAAGCCTCCCCTTCAAGGATCTCAGATCCAAGCTGCTGAGCTTGGGGTCCAAAGCTCCCAGAGCCGGGTCCCAGCCCGCCCTGCCAGGCGTGCTCGCCGGCTTCTCCTCGTGGGATTCGCAGCCTGGAGTGTGTCTTCCCTGAGCTGAGCCCTGCCTGCACTGTGTGCATGAGATCCTGGCTGCTCGGAGCCCCCATGTCCCCTCTGGGTCTGCTTCAAGCTCTGTCCGCCCAGCAAAGCCCTCTGGGAAGCTGATCCTGCATCTACCTCGTCACTCAGTTTGTAAATAAATTGTGTCACAATTCTGAAATAAAATGTGACTTCGGGAGCTAGCTCTGCCTGCGTTCAGCGTGCCACATGCCCAGCCTTCTGTCCCCCTGCAGGGTGGCAGCACGGAGAACACACAGGCCAGGAGAGCGGCGGCCTGAGCTGTGGTCGGTGGGTGGAAGGACCGGCCGGGCCTCCCACTGGGGAGCAGCCTCGTTCCAGAGGTCTCGCCGCTCCCCCTCGCTCGCAGAGACCTGGGAATCCATGCCTCCTGCACAGGCTCACAGCCCCCTGGGCCCCCGTCATGCCCTATGCTGTTCATCATCCTCTGGTTCTAATGGCCTCTCTTTTGAGAGAAAGTTTAGATATTTACAATAAGAAACACATGTCCACAAGACAACCACAGAAAGCAGAACACAACAGAACTCTTCCATAACAAAGCACACGTATCAACAGACGGACTGTCTTTGCTAGGCCACAAAGGCAATTTCTCATGAATGCTTAATCCCCTCCGAAACGGTACACATTCCCCAGTGGGAAACCCATGCTAAATCTTACACGCATCTCCGTGAACCATCAAAGATGCTAACGTTAAAAAGTTAAAGGTAGAGGCCCAGGCTGGAGAATTTTCCCTGTGAAACCCCACATTATGGAAGTGCTTAATCCCTGTAACAAAAAGGAGGAATGTTTCCTGCCCCAGGGGAGGCGTGACCAGGGAAGGAGCCCCAGCACGGAATCCAGCGTGCTGAGGCCCCGCAGGGTCCACACTTCCTACGGCCCCCTTCAGGCCTGCTGGAGCTCTCCCACGGCCACCAGTGACCTGCCCGTGCGAGTGTGTCACCCCCTGCCTGGAACCCCACGCCCCCAGCCCATCACGCCGCCCGGAGGTTTCTCCACCCCCCGCCCTGGGAAGCACAACTTCAAGACACATTATCTCATCACCAGCCCTTTGCTGGCTTCATTCTTGAGCGTTTTATTAATTTTTCAGATGGCTCAAAGCCACGTGGTGCATTTTGCGGGTGGGGGAAGGGTGGGAAGAAGAGAAAGGGGCTGCCCAAGAAGGAACGTTAAGCTTGACTTTATTTCTGGCCCTGATTCCTTAGCCCCTCACAGAGTAATCAGAAACTATTGGAAACATCTGTGGACTTGACAGAGCATAATAAAAATCAAGCCTGTTCTGACAAAGAATCCCATACTAAGTTAAAATTCTTTTTCAAAGACTTCAGAGAACTTACTAACAGAATCTCCTACAGTAATCTGTTTCCAAATAGTACTAAAATTATCATTAAAAAACAACCTATCTGCTTGGCTTTACCGTGAGAATCTCCTCCACAAATCTTTAAGGGAGGACTAAAAGGATGCTTTCTGGGGCACAGAAGTCCTGAGGATTTCTATCTCAAGTCCTGAGGATTTCTATCTCAAGGTTCACATCTGAATATTTTAAACTCACTACAAAAACTGCCTTTAAAACTAGTTTGCTAACTTAAAAAAAAAAAAAAACTTTTAAAAATAAAAGACTTAAAATAACTATTTTGCGGAAGCAATGCAAATCATCACTGCCTTTTAGGAATTAAATTCCTAAATAGAAAAAGTTCGGATAATGAAGGGTGACTGAGATTGTACCTGTTTTCAATGCTATTTCCACCACCAGTGACCCGATTTCATTACTATGCTGAGTTACCATTCCACTGATGTAGTTTAAAACTCACTTCTCCCTTCTAAGCGCACCCTGAGAACGTTTTTACGGGACTTTGTGCACTTCTGTGTGTTTTACGGACTTCTGTCAGGGCTCCTGAGCACATGCATGTAGTTTAGGATCGCAACTGATGAAAATCTCAGCTTCCATGATTCACATTAACTCTTGAGAAATTCACATGAGAAGACAGTGCTCTCCTCCCCTCCAATATTTCTGCTTTTCTCCTTTAAAAAATAACTGTGGTGCCTAAAAACCATGGCCGTGACTAGGCCTTAGTGCATGGACCATGGAAACTAGCCACGAAATGCCTCCTGCAGGACCAGACCACCTCTTGTCCCTCGCCGAGGGCTTCCGGGGGCGCTCGGACAATCCAGACACACAGACAATCAGTAGACTCCAATCAGGGTCCCTCTGCCTGAATTCTCTCTAGAAAGGCTGAATGTGAACAAGCTGTGGGCGCTCACCCAAAAGAATGAAACGCTCATCTCCAGTCGCTGGCATGTTGAATCTTCCACAATGACCACACAGAACAGAATTTTACTTTTTATGTTTTCTGGAGAAAGCGTGTTATATTGTTGCTTTACCTGAACCCAGTTAAGAGCAGTGACTCAACTGTTTTAGTCCCCACGGCTGGGGACTACTGACAAGCCCACCGCTCCTCAGGGCAACCCTCTCTGGTGCACAATGAGGCAGTCTGACATTGCAAGAACACAGAGTTCTGGAGAGACCAAAGCAAACATGTGCTTTGAAGGACGGCGCTCCCAGGTGAGCTCCGGGGCAGGTTCGGCTGGAGGGAGAGTAGGCTCGTCACAACGGCCACAGGGGACGACGCAGCCCCTGCAGCAAATGATTCTACTTCGAGAACCGAAGTCAGCGGCAGGTGGGTGTTTGGCCAATTTTGTGAGAGCAATTCAAAAGGAAAGTGGCATTGCGGGTCTAATAAAAGCCATTTCCCCCCAAAAGAACAAAGTGTATCAACTCTGTGAACAGTCCCTCCTACAACCCAGCATGGTTCAGCATGGTTCAGTCATTCAGAAACCTCACAAAAGAATCTTGTGGTTTTGTGGAGGTTTCACACGGAGCGGACCAAAGACTGGCCGCTTGGTTCAAGGGGATTAGGGAGTACAGTGCCATTACTGGCAACGCTTTTGAGAGAGGTCACCACCGGCAGCCAGAGTTCCCCATGGAAGTGCATCCTGCCCCAGGCTCTCACCCACCCAGGCTTTCCACTGTGCAACTTCACCAAGCCTGGGCAGCAGAGCCCCCGCTCATGCCAACCCCAATGCCAAGTCCACAGGGGAAGCCTCCACCAAGATCTGCGGCTGAGTTCTAGTGAGGACCACTGTCATGGGCTCTCACACATCGAGGGTATAGAAAGAAATCTGTGAGAACTCAACAAATGGTTATTAGGGTAAATTTTATATGGCTTTTACCACACACACACATGCAAAAGAAATCTGTGAGAGAATTTTTTTTTTTTTCCCCAAAACGGTAGCTTACCATACCTGACATTTTATCCAGAAAAGAAATACTGAGTGTGGTATTCAGGGATATTAATTCTTCACTCTTTACTGACATGAGCACACACTGGGTTTTCTGACAC